AGTTGCATGATAATTTGGTTTCTTCCTATGTTTTGTTTCTTTCTCTATTAAGTCTCTTAGTTGGTTTGACAAGACTGTTAAAATATCATCCATATGGCAATCCATTAACCCTCATAATTCTTCCCACTTCTGAGTGACATGTTGACCAACATAAGCTCTGTATGAAGGTTAAGGCTTTAGGGATTACTAATGCAATCTAGGATTAGGTCACGGATGCAAACACAAATTTACAGGTTACCATCTATTAGCTTCAGTAAAAACAGTTATAATTAATGTAAAAATAATAAACATGCTTCTTTCATTCCAAGTAATAATTTAATGGTTGTCAAAGTTTAAAATTACGTAAGAAAATTAGATATCAAATGCAAAATTTAAACAACTATCAATGTCTAATCCTTAGAAAAGAATCTGACATATATCGCACTTAGTAAAATTTTAATGGACAAACTAGTTATTAAACAACAACAAGAAGAATAAGAAGAAGCGTCTATCCAACTAAGTGGGGTCAGCTAAATGAATTGTTTTTTTCCACTGTCCTGTTGAGTGTGACATTTTCATTTAAATCTAATAATTTAAGATAATTTTTTATACAACATGTCCAAATCTTTTTAGGTCTACCTCAACCTTTCTTAACGTAAGTCAAATCTAAGCATCTACTCTCCTAACAGGGTCATCAGATGGGCAACATTAAATGCGACTAAACCATCTAAGAAGACTTTCTAATCTTGTCTGTCACTAGAGCTAAAGCCACTCCTCCACTAGAGCATTCTCATCGCAACAACACTTATATTTATGTTTCTCTTTTACTAGCCAACATTTTGTGCCATAAGACATTGCAGGTCTCACCACCATTTTATAAAATTTTCTTTTAAGTCTAAGTGATACTTTTCTATCACGCAATAGGCCTGGGCATTCATCCACTTCAACCATCCAATTTGAATTCTACTGATAACATTCCCATCTATATCACCATCACTCTTAAAAATAGACCCGAGATATCTAAAACAAAACGTTCACTCCTTTTGATGACTCGATCAAAAATTGTTACAACCCTGCCACTAGATCTACCACCATTAAAATTATATTTCATGTATTCAATTTTAGATATACTCCAATGAAAACCATTAAACTCTAAAGTTGACCGTCATAAATCCTATATTTCCTGAACTCTCTCTATTCTTATTGACAAAAAAGGATATCAGTAGCAAAAAACATACATCAAGGTACATCATCTTGTAAATGTCCAGTAAGAACATCCATAACAAAAACAAATGATATGTATTTAAAACTGATCCCTGATGTAATCCAAATGAAATAGGAAAATACTTGGTCAATCTCCTTGTGTTTAAACACAAGTAATAACTCTAGTATACGTATCTTTAATGACTTGAATATAAGCAATATGAACACATTTCTTTTCTAGAATTCTCTAAATTATTTCTTTGGAACCTTTTCATAAGTTTTTTCGAAATCAATAAAAATCATATTTAGATCCTTTTTTACTCACTTTGTACTTCTCTATCAAACCTGTTAATAAATGTATAACTTCCATAATAGACTTTCCGAGCATGAATCCCAATTGCTTTTGAAAATTTTTGTATCACGTCGTAACCTATGTTTAGTTACTCTGTCCCATAACATTGATGTATGATACATTAGCTTAATTCTTTTGTAATTTGTACACTCTTGTGCATCATTTTATTTTTAAAAATATGAACTAATAGACACTTTCTCCACGCATCAGTCATTATTTTAATTTTTAAAATAATATTAAAAAGTTTAGTAAGCTATGAAATTTCCAAATCTCCTAAATATTTCCATATTTCTATTAGAATAACACTAGGTTCCACTACTTTTTCACACTTCATTTTCTTTAAAGCCTCTTCAATTTCTTTTTTTACTAATGCGATGGTGGAAATAGAAAAATATTATTATTTATTATATTAAGAGTTAAAGTCAATCGTATTGTCACAATTTTTATTGAAAAGTTTATCAAAATATCTTACCCACACATGTTGAATATTCTCATTTAAGAAAAATATTTTTTGATTTTCATCCTTAATACGCTTGAACTAAATTTTTATTTTTTTTCTATTTTCCTTTCTATTTTATACATATATACTGCACTCTCTTTAGTATCATAAAAATCATTAAAAATAGAATTCTTTGCATCACAAATTATTCTCATAGACTCCTTATGTGCCACTTAAATTTTTTTCAATTTTTTATTCCTTTACATCTTAACTAATTTTATAACAAAATTTCTTATTATTTATCTCTTATTGTAAGTTATTATTTCACTATCAATTATTTTTATTCATAAGAGCTGTCTTGTGATTATTAAAGGACATCTTTTGCAACTTATTTAATAATATTTATTATTTTATTGTACATAGTATTAGTTTTTCATGAACATCCAAAATTTTATGATCTTGAAGTTTTCTAATAAAATAATTTTATTTATTTCTTTTAAATGCTCTATCTAATTTTGTGTTAATACTTAGTTGTATTTTTCATCTTTCAATCTTTAATCTTAAAATCCAAAACTAATGATCAATTATGGGTACTTAAATTTTTACATAGAATGACTTTACAATCTTTACAATCTCAACGATCTATTTTTCAAATAAGAAAATAATCAATTTATGTTTTATTAAATTCATTCTTATAAGTGATAATATGTTTATCTTCTTCCTCATATAAAATATTTACAATAATAAAATAATAAAATAAAGAAAATCCAATATTTCTCTATCTTTTTCATTAGTCACTCCAAAATCATAGCCACAATGAATACTTCTAAAATTTTCTTACCATTCTACTAACATGTCATTTGAATCTCCTCTAATAAAAATTCTTTCTTCAAAATTTATCCTTTGTATTATTTCTTTAGGTCATTCCAATATTTTTCTTTTGAATATATCTATCCAAACCTAATTGAGGTGTATAATCACTTATAACCTTAAGAATTTTAGCATCAACAATAGTCTTTAGAGTTATAATTCAATCTCTAATTCTATTAATTTCTTACAACCTTACTTTCAAATTATTTATAATTACACATACATCATTTTTTGTATGACTCCTATTTGAATACTAAAGTTTGAAATTTAAGCTATCAGTTTTCTTAGTCTTTTCACTAATTCATGTATTTTCTTGAATGCATAAAGATATTTATCTTTCTATGAATCATAATATCTATTAATTCTATTAATGTGAGAGTACCTACCAAGTTCCTATTATAATATTAGTTTTATGGACTAACTGTTTTGTCTGTATTCGTTGATAAAATGAGAACTCTTGTTTATTTAACACTGCACTCGGGTGATGGTGCCACAATTCTTGCACACTTTTCAATGTATTCAGGCCGTACAACGCATCGTTTCCAGGAGATGCTCTGGTATTGGCCCAATGATAAAAAAGATTCATGTGTGTTTTTCGACAATTTTTATGTTGACTGTCGACTATCTAACACAACCCTTCGTTTTTTGCATTCGGGACCTGACACCTGACAATAGTAATATTATTGAATATACTTATATAAATTGCCTCAAAAGGAAGAGCTATGCATGCCCAAACAATGAGACTTGTCCGTAGAAGTACCCATCTACGCTTGAATAGCAATAAAAAGGAATACTTATCGAACAACTCATTAAATTTGATAAAAAAATAACATTTTATTTCAATACTCTTTCTTTAGTAATTTTTATACGCTGTTAAACGTTCTGTTTATACTCCTCATAGGACTCAAAATGAGAAACAACTAAAAATTCAATTAGTGTGGTAAAAAGTGAAAGTTCAGACTCCTCGGGCACATAAATAATTGGAAATAACGTTGGGTTTCAAAATTTCAAAATAAACGGTTCCTCAAAAAGAAAGCAAGAGGCTGCAATAGGAAGCCCATTACTATTGCAATCAACTGAAATAAGGGATGCAGCAATACAAGGATTTCCATATAAGATGCTGGGATTGTAGCTATCATCGATAGTCGTGGGCTCGATTTCTAAGCCTTTATTTGGATTAGGGGCAGTAGGGTTGTTGTACAATTAGCGGCCTTCCTCAGAACTCTGGATTGTGGAAAATCTGTGGCACTTTAGGTATCTGGTACTGTAGCATTAGTGCCACTATAGACATTTGGAATTACGACATTGGTTGCCAAAATTTAAGGAAATAGGAAGAACACTTGGAAGAGAATGCAGGAGAAAAATTGCGAATGGGGAAATATTGTAGACTAGAAAATCATAAAGTCTTAAACTAGGACTATTCATGAAGCTGATTTTATTGCAACTTTAGTAGTGGTGAACCGAACCTAAAGAGCAAGTTAAATTATTTGAGAACACGTCCTGTTTTCAATTGGATCACATCATGATATATTTTGTCATAAACTGAAAGAAAATACGATGTAAAAAATTGAGCATGCTCCTCTTAAGGTTTTCTTTTAGTACTTCCTATGAGTACAAACTCTTAGATTTTCGGGTAGACACATTTTCAGTGATCCTAGATCCTAGTTATGAGCTGTACAATGGGGATGTGCAGCCAGGACTAGGAGATAGATTTATGGAGGAATTAATTCCCAGGGGCATCTACTATTGCTTTTATCGGTCTCATATTGATTCAGTGACAGAAACTAGTTTGAATTAATCTAAAATACCTGCCATTTTTTTCCTGGTCTTCTTCTCTTATGGAACTTTAAATCTTTCGACAATTTCCTGGTCTTCTTCTCTTATGGAACTTTAAATCTCTTTGTAATTTTCCTACATTGCAACACGTCAATATCTCTCTCTTACATGGGAGATCTAGAAATTTGCTAAATGCATCATCTTTTTCCAAAATACTGGAATCTTGCTACTAATTACTCTGAAAGTTCAAATAGTGCAGAACATGCTACATTACTCCATGAAAAATGAAAAATGATGCTAATTGCAGTATTTTTATGATGGTCTATACACACTCTTTGTTTGCAATTAACCTTTTTTCTATAATTTTTTTTTACCTGACAGGTTGAGGCAGAAGAACAACCGGAAATTTCAGATGCTTATGCAGTGTCAGCTGTGCCATACTTTGTCTTCTGCAAGGTTAGTATTAATTAGACATGTCAGATATGAACTTTTAATTTATTTATTTTATTTTTTTGTTGATATATGGCATTTCCTACTGAATGTCATCCTGATTTACATTTAGATATGAGGTTTCTTTTCCCTTTCCTCCTCCTGTTGCTTCATCACAGGTTGTGGGCAATATGATTTGGTGTGCAGTTTACTTAGAACATTAAAATGATAATGATGATATTGCCAAAGATGCATTGCTTATGATGTGTGATGGTTTTAGGAATTCTTAGTCTCTGATACAAAAATTGGGATTCATAAATAAGATTGCCAGTCTAATTTGGAGGTCTACCTTGGAGTCTAAAGGCCTTCGTTTGAGTAGAACTAAAACTGAATACATGGAATGTAATTTTAGTGGTAGTAGTTCTGGTGACAGAATTGTAACTATAGGTGATCATATTATTAAAAGGTGTGAACGCTTTAGATATCTTGGGTCTATTGTTCAAAGTGATGATGATATTGATGGGGATGTTATTAGTAGAATTCAAGTTGGTTGGTTGAAGTGGAGGAATGCTTCAAGCCTATTGTGTGATAGAAAAACAACGCTTAGACTGAGAACATGAGAATATTAATATGGATGTTTAGATAAGTATTTGGTGATGGGCAACTATTATAGAAATTGGAATTCAATAACTTTTTTTAATGAAAAGGCAGTTAAAAGTATGTTGAGACTACTCATCCATAATACTTGATGGGAAGGGGATGCTAATGGTAAGCATAGAACTAGGATTAATGGGAAAGAGCAATAAATGAAAATGTGCCAGCTAAAGTTATCTCGTTTAGTAGATTTTAAAAAGGTTTAGCTCAGTACAGTTTAAAATCAAATAATGCTTTTGAACAGCAATGAATGATGGAGGAGGATTTACAAAGCCTACAATAAATAATTAGCATGAAAACAATGGCGTTAATAATGATGCTTATTTTTGGTGGGTGGGAGTTTGGATGTGGTTTGTAGCAGTTTTGCTATGGGCAGCTTTCCCGTGCTAATTTCATTTATCTATTAGGTTGGGATTGGTAAGAACATTCACTTATATTCTCTCCAAGAAAAAAAAAATGGTCTTTGTAGCAATTCATTCAATACTGCGCATACTAACCATTTTATTTTGGTAACTTATTTGATACATACATACATACATACATATATTGTATATGTATATCTATCTATTTATGTACATATATATACACATACATATATATATATATACATAGATACATATATACATATATATACATATACATGGATATATATAAATGGCGTAGGGTTTCGCCCGAAGGTGATTCCCTGCGTTGAATAATTCGGCTTCTAATCCATCGATTTCATCGTGTTCGACGACGAAGGTCTTCTCGTACTCGACGTCGAAGGGCTTCTCCGGCTTTTTCTCACATCGCCTCCTCATGACGCATTTGCGCCATCATTTCGTCCTGCCCAACGACGAAGGGCTTTGGCTCTGAAGACCATCCGCATAACTGCCTCCTTGAATGAATTGTTTTAACTAATTGATAAATCATAATGTACTGCTCACATGCTGCTAGTCTAGATCTTGCGGGGAATTAAATAGGGCAACTTCAGATTGTGTCAATAATTCTACATATATTTTTCAGGATGGAAAAACTTCTGATACACTGGAGGGTGCAAATCCATCTGTTCTGGCTAATAAAGTTGCAAAAATTGCTGGAACTATTGATAATGTAGAAACAGCTGCACCTGCAAGTCTTGGGATGGCTGCTGGTCCTACTGTTCTTGAAACAGTTAAAGATCTGGCAAAGCAAAATGGATCTTCAAAAACTAAAACGACAAACGCTATCCCCATGGATAATTTGACGAGATTACAGCAGCTTGTTGATTCTCACCCTGTTTTCCTCTTTATGAAAGGGACTCCCGAGCAACCTAAGTGCAAGTTTAGCCGGAAGGTAGTTGAAATTTTGAAGAATGAAGGGGTTGAATTTGAAACTTTTGATGTTCTAATAGATGATGATGTTCGTGAGGGTATGAAGAAGTTCTCCAATTGGCCAACTTTCCCTCAACTCTACTGCAAGGGTGAACTTCTTGGTGGGTGTGATATTGTAGTTGCCATGCATGAAAGTGGAGAATTGATGGAGGTGTTCAGAGATCATGGAATTCCTTTTATTTCAAAGCAGAACGTGCCATCTCCTGGAGCTCAAGGATCTGGGAAAGGTGGGGTAGCTGGCTCCACAACTCTCAGTGCTGAATTAGCATCTCGACTGGGAACCCTCATAAACTCAAGTTCTGTTGTGCTGTTCATGAAAGGGAAACCTGAAGAGCCTAAGTGTGGTTTTAGCAGCAAGGTTGTTGATTTACTCAAGCAGGAGAAGGTTGAGTTTCAGAGCTTCGATGTGCTTTCTGATGATGAAGTTAGGCAGGGTCTGAAAACCTTTTCCAACTGGTCTAGCTATCCTCAGCTCTATGTGAAAGGTCAGCTCATTGGAGGATCTGATATAGTGCTTGAGATGCATAAGAGTGGAGCTTTAAGGAAAGTTCTTGCAGAAAAAGGCGTCATCCAGGAAGAAAAACTTGAGGATCGCTTAAAGAATCTGATCTCATCATCCCCCGTAATGCTTTTCATGAAGGGTAAACCTGATGCGCCCAGCTGCGGGTTCAGTTCGAAGGTTGTTAATGCTCTGCGAGAGGAAGGAATCAGTTTCGCATCATTTGATATTCTATCTGATGAGGAAGTTAGGCAAGGATTAAAAACATATTCGAACTGGCCTACTTTTCCTCAGCTGTACTACAAAGGAGAATTGATAGGTGGCTGTGATATTGTCATGGAGCTGCGTAAAGCTGGGGAGCTCAAATCTACTCTTTCTGAGTAAAGGTATTTTGTTTTGTTGAAGAAATGGTTCTTTGTTATTGTTTTGGAACCCGATGTTGTCGGGCTGTTATCTGATTGAATCGATGTGCTTTGACTATTGATGAACTTTTTTATTTTACCATGTGGGAGTTGTGATTATGGAATATTTAGTCTATTTCTTAATGTTTTTTTGTTCTTGCTTACAACTTGTGTTCGGTGCAAGCTTTATCCATTCTCATGAACTTACATGGGCATGACATGTAATTTCTAATATGATGCCAATGAAATTCTTGTTCATTTTGATCTGTATGATAGTCATGCATTGTTTGTTGGGGGCAGAAAATTGGTTTTTAGTGGGTCAGCTGCTTCTACCAATGCCTTAAAATTATGGGGGAAAAGAGTTTAATTGTGAAAGATGATTGCTCTTTTGAGTCTTCTCATTTGTGGTAAAAAATGCATTTGAAATTGATCTAATTTATTGTATGGCAAATTTGTAGATAAACTAAATCAGAATTGAACTAATTTCAGTTCCTCGGAATTTTAGGCATAGCATTTTGCACAATAAAATTTATTTAACAAGTTTTCGCCAAATCAAAGAAAAACTCCATATTCAATCCAGAAATCTGTATACAAGTTTCAAAGTTTCAACAATCAGATTTCATGCACTGAAATTAGCCAAATCCCCGATGTATGAAGAATAGCAAGTTGGATATGCACACTGTAAAACGTAAAATTATTTAAAAAAAATGAGGAATGAATAGAAGAACCAAGGAGAGGAAAAGAAGGGTTTTTCATATGCGCTCTGTTAAGATTTTCTTCTCTTGTGATGGTGCCCTTTCCCTCTTCATTGGCTGATCTTTGCTTTGGGATAAGCCCTAGTCTAGCTTGCCTTTGGTTTCTATTTGCATGAAGAATAGCAAGTCGGATATGCACACTGTAAAACGTAAAATTACTTAAAAAAAGAAATGAGGAAGGAATAGAAGAACCAAGGAGAGGAAAAGAAGGGTTTTTCATATGCGCTCTGTTAAGATTTTCTTCTCTTTTGTGATGGTGCCCTTTTCCCTTTCCCTCTTCGTTGACTGATCTTTGGTTTGGGATAAGCCCTAGTCTAGCTTGCCTTTGGTTTCTATTTGGAGGGGTGCATGCCTTTCACCTCATTCACATCACAATCTCCACAAGCTCTGATGCCTCGAGTTTCAATACCCAATTTTTATCTACTTATGGATTTAACCTCCTATTATTTCAAAAGATTCCCCACCTTCTCAATCTTGTTTGATACCTCTTCCCTCAAATAATTATATATATATATATATATATATACCTCCTTG